AAGCTTCGTCGGTCCCGATGAATTATAGAAATGTCGAAAGCCCGCGTGTCGGCACACAGAGCACAGAAAGGGTGGAGAAGGCGAAACGGTTTGTTCACGTGTACGTATTACTCTAAAACGAACGTGCGTATGTATACGGGACGGAACACTCGTCAAGGGACGCACTTCACTCGACCACGGACACCGAGACACTGAACCGTAGTCCTTGCCCTCGAAAACTCAGGTACCAGCTAAGGCCCGTCTACAACGTAAACAAAGAGGCTTGTTTGCCATCGACATTATTCCTCGCTTGTATACACACACACCTCGGCCGTTCCTCTTTCGACGATTGTTACGGTAGCAGGTAATCTTCTCGACTGTACGCGTACAAGAAACACTGGTTCAATAAATGATGTCTAAATTTCATTTAATACGTACTTAAAGACCGTTGATGTACAGTGGAAGACGCAAAAGGTGCGTCTTATGCAGTTTATTCGGTGCAACTGCAGGACGCACCTTATGCGTCATATGAAGTGCATTGGATATGTCATATGACGCACCTGGTGTGTCCTGTGCTACGTTTTGGTAATTTGATTTTGCACTTGAAAATATCATTGCAGAGTATCACAACTAATAAAATAAATGAAAAATAATTTATGTTAAATGAATTATTAGATGATTTTTTATTATTCGAGCCATCAAAGTGCACTGATCTTTGATTGATTTATAATTGAAAGAAGAAGCGGGAGGATTGAAACGACCACGAGAACATTGATCCGGACAAATTTAGCAGGACGCCACGGAAGAGGACGACGACCAGAGAAAGACTCCAGCACCACTGGTTGCAGCATTAACATCATCATCGTCATCGACCTCTTCGTCGCCACCACCACTACTCGCCGGCAGGGCTACCACCGTTAAATCGGCCCTTCGAAAGGTTTCTCGTAAAAAATGTATCGAAAAGTATAATAAATAAAGAGATTTCAAATTTTGTATACGAAATATCTCGCGAACTGTTGATTTTTTTCAACGTTATTAAAAAAAATGGAGAAAGAGATTCTCCATCGACGAGGCGAGTTTTGTCGTGTCACCTGAACCGGAGATTCAATACAGATAGCCTGGCATGAAAAATACAAGGAAAGACAGGGATAAAAGAAGAGAAAAGAGCAGACGTCGCTGAATCATGCAACTAAAATATACCGAGTGTACGTTTCGTACGCAAGTATGCTCATTGAAAAAACGAACGAGCCAAGCAGCCAGCTGTTTATTAATAAACGAGCCAGTTTGGAGGAACGTTTGCACGGAAGAAGAGTTCGTTCAACGATGAATAAAATCGGGGAAATTCTCGTCACGAGTGTCTGTTTTTTCTCCTTCGACGAATCAGAGGAAATATGGGGGTGATTGATTTTCAGACTGTGTTGAGATTAAAATTAAAAATATCATGGCTCATCACATACAATCTATACAGAGGATGTTTAAAAAAAAGGTGAAAATTCCTTTATCATTTTTCAATTTAGTAATTCAATTTAATAATTAATATAAAATATCCTTGTTATCATTAGTGAAAAGGAAAGAGTAACAAATTCTTACTAATTAGAAAAACAAAGGACTACTGTAAGAGAAGGAATATCCTACCATTGACCACTGGATAACTACATATTAGTTTAAATGCTTATTACCTGAAGATCTTATTATGGTTGCATAATCCTTGATGAAATTACGTCTCGAACTTAAGTTACTACGTATTTGCATAATGCAACGTAATGATAAAAAACATGAAATGTACTTATTGTTAGAAAGTAAACACAATAATTCATGTGCTATTCAATTATATATGATTTGGTAATTAGAAGATGATTAAAAATGAAAATCAATTAGACTATTTTTAGTTTTAAGTACTTGTCATTTACACCTCGTCCCAAATTATCATCGACTCCCTCATGAAAGATAAAAGGTCCTCGATGCACGGATAATAAGGTTACAGCTCGACATTCGACCAGCAATTAAATCAAAAAACGATCCGCCTCGGCTAATTACCAAGCGTCAGGCTTCATTAAGAGCCACCTTTGTTCTATCCCCTTTGTTTGAATTAAGCGTCATCGATTGCTCGCAATATCGCAAGGATTTCAGTGATATCGCAGGATAATGCAATCCGACTTCTTCCCTCTTGGTAAATTAATTGAGGCAATTGTTAATTGAGGACGTAGAAAGAATGATGAAAAATTCAAATTATTAAAAGAAACAATTTAATTTTTCATCAGAGGAAATACTAGAATTATGAAGATAAAAAATGTATGAAATAAACATTTCAGTTTACACACTTATCTACAATCATTTGAATAATTATATTCTCTATAACAATGCGTTTGAAAACCAGTTTTCTCTTGGTCACAAAAGCCTGGAATAACTAAGTTAACCGAAACAATTTGCAATGCAAATTTCCGACAACCTCTACGCACACACCTAAACTCACATTCCTCCACATTTCCAGCAGACTTTATGCATCGGTTACATAATTCTGACAAAAAGCACGGTTCGAGCGTCGAATTTTCGTTAGACGGAAAAGAGGCCAGGCTGCTGTCGGTTGAACGAGAAAATATACAAAGTTTGATTGTTGGTTGTCGTGAAAAATCAGAGCGATAGACGAAGGTGGAAGGGTAGAAAAAGAAGGAGGCGGAAGCAAGTCGAAGATTATTTTCAGCAGCGTTACGATTTCAGTTTGTTTATCGTCAAATGGACATGGCTCGTTGGAAACTCGCAGGAAACGGATACGATTAGGCCTACGCGTGCGCACGTCCAACGAGACGTAGAAACAGACACTGATTACACTCGAAAACATTGTATTTTTTTTTACCAGTTTCCTGTTACAATCGGTGGAAAACTCGACCACGACAAATTCCAAATTACGAATGTAGAATAAAAATAATTTGAAATGGAAAAAGAAATTTTCAGTTAACCCATACGGGGGTGTGAATTGAATTTCCATATAAATTTTCTAATTTATCTAATTAGGAATACTCGTGTTAGATACTTGAAAATATAGATGATAGACACCCTCTCTTCTCAAATCACAAAGCAATTATAATTCACTTGAAACGTATCTCTAATTAAAAACACAATTTTAATTAAACAAATAAATAAACTTGATTCTATTTTTTTATATCAAACTTCACCCCCCAGTCTCGTAACAAGCAAGGTATTATTATAATTCCAGTCGAAACAACGGCTTATCGACAAGACGTTCGTTACGCCACAAGATGAGAGAGCTGGGTTATTAAGGCTAATTAAAGCTGTTTAATTAGGGCGCTGTCGCAAGGGTCACGTTATTCTCATGCTTCCTTATTCTGCTCTATACTGTTTGCATTTCATGTTTTTTTTTAAACCCTTATTAAACTCAGGCTTGTTGAAATAAAATAAAAATGGTAAATTTGCTATTTTTGAATTCTATTTGGTTAAAGAAATTGTAATGTCATAATGACGTTCCATGTTTTGTATGGACTAAAAATATTCAGAAGTTTAATGAGAAAATTTCGTCAGAAGATGACATCGAGTCGAATCGAAGGAATCCGATCGCGTAATACCGGCCTTCCTTCACCCACATCTGGACACCGTTGTGCTCGTTTCCAAACAACGATATCATAACATGAACTTTCTCCGTAATTGGTCGTGTGTATCCAGATGTTTACAGATATTTCTGATCCCAGATAAAAAAAGGAAGAAACTTAACAGAGAACTAATTGCAAATTGAATGCACACCGAATGGATCTTACAATTAGAATTCATAGAAAATTGATTGCAGAGGTAATTTAATCAATAAATTTAAAAAAAAAAGAAGGAAAGTTAAAAAATGTTAACTTCTAACGAATCTATAAATCAGAAAGACAATTTGTAAAACACCCTGTGAAACAATGTACAAGAGTTCTCAATTTGTTTCTCGGTCAAAAGGTGACGTATCGCAGAAAATCCCCAGCGTCCATAACGCAGGCCACTGATAAATTATTCCATTACAGTTTGCATTTCCCAGGACCGTACGATTGCGCGATTCCGGTGGACAAGGGGGAGTGTCTGTAGGAAACACCCTGTAGGTCGGTGGTTAGCACAGTTCAACTCTATACTGCAAGTTCGTGCTGGTTGTTCGCTTGTATTCCAACCCTCCTGGACCCTTTCGCGCCAGAAGACTCGCGTTAATGTCGAACCCTTGTATCTCGAGAGACACCCTTAAAACAGGACCATCTGGCCAGAAACCATCCCCCCCAAACGTACCGCGGCCATTAGTCCGAGGGCCACTCTCCGTCGGTTCGATAATTACATTTTTTTTTTTCTTTCTTCCCTCCCCCTTTGCCTCGATCTCGTCTCTACGATTAATTTCCACCTGATCGTACGGTGCTCGAAACAACCCCAACGACCTCCACTCGACGTCTTCTCGGCGCCATCCCTCTTTTTTTTTGATAGAATTGCTTTTGTCATAGACATATGTATTTGATGTACTTTTGCTTTTAGAATGGAGGTATTTAACAATTGGGAATTTTTACATTAAAATTTTGGAAAATTAGATCTTAGAAGAGCTGAAGGATTAGAAATATGTGAAGTACCTCCAGAGTTGAAAATTATCAAAAAATTAATTTAAAATTTTAAGAAGCAGGAAAAGCCTGAATGTAGGAAATTCTAATTACAAGGTGGAAAATTTTAGATGCTTGGGACAAGTAATTTTCTCATTAGTAAACCTAAGACAATCATTTACTTATATTGTAGTTTCCCAACGAGCAGAAGCCAATCCAAATTAATCATATGAAATGTAATCACAAATGAAACATCCGCGTAATTAAATATCGTCGAATTATCTGGCTGAAAGCCGGTCGTACGATGAAATTATCGTGTTACATAAAGTTAGTGAACTTGTCATCGAATTTAAAACCACTGTGTTCCGTCGTGAATATCAAATTATCAGCTTCGAAAATGATCGTGTACGACGTTCGAAGATGCCGAACATTCGGATGGAAGGATTTATAAGGGAAAACTCAGCTGAATTTGCCTCCAGTAGATCGATCTTCGATCCGAAGATATTCAATTAACTTTTGTTTTTTCTTTCGGTACAAAGAAAGATTTAAATATGAACACGAAACAACTACTTCTGACAACGATGTTGATGTTTGTGGCGCTTAAACCGGTGAAAAGTGTAGGTTTTTTTAATAAAAAATTGTCATTTTTAAATAAAGAAAGTTACAACGGACCCGTACGAGTTAATAATTCACAATGAAAGTAAAATCAATCTAAAATTAATATTTAATTAAGTGTTTTCATTAATAAATCGCAGTTGACTGTTGAACAAATGGAGAAGATGGCGAAGGGAATGCGGAACGTATGCTTGCAGAAAATCGACACTACCGAAGGTAAGAATGCCTGATTAAATTAAACATTGATTCATAAAATTAATTTGTTTTTTTTTTCATAATTATTTAGCTATGGTTGACGGGCTCAGACGAGGTGAATTCCCGGAGGACGAGAATCTTAAATGTTATACACATTGCATTATGAAGACCATGCGAAGTGTAAGAGAAAAATCTCTACAATTTGAGCAATTAATTGATGAATCTAATACACGCGTGTTTGTACAGTTTAAGAACGGAGCCATTGACTTCAATATGACCATGAAGCAAATAGATATGTCGATGCCAGCTGATATGGCAACTCGAATGAAGGAGACCGTAAGAAAATGTTCTGAATTAGGTGAGTAGAATATTCCAAGTATTAATTAATTTCAATCACAACTGCACACCGTAATTACATTAAAATAAAAATAAAATATCAGAAAATATTCATTCAGAAATGATTTTTATGAAAGCCTTATTTTTCTATAAAAGAATAACGAATATTTATGCAATTTTAATGTATCAAAATATAAACAATTGTTTATTTATTGGACATTGTGCGCAGAAATTACGGGCGATCCGTGTCACATAACGTTCGAATACCTGAAATGCATCTATCGAACGGATCCAGAGACGTTCTTCTTCCCTTGAAGAATGAAAATTACTGCATCGGAAGGGACATTTTTTAAGAGAATTACTCGAGTTGTATACAATACAGATTAATTATTACAATTCGTGTTTAAAATTAAACACATTGCTTTTTACTTTTTTACTATTACTAATATTAATATTAATATTACTTCCTAGTAACACTACCATTCTAATTATCTTATATCTGTCATTAATTATTAACCCTTGAACAGCGGAGCCCGGGTCAATCGTGACCCAAACTTGCAAATGATATCCAAGGATATTAACCTACAGTTTTAGGTTAATAGTGTAAAATTGAAAAAATAAAAATAATATGAAATACAAAGTGAAATTAAAATTGTGGCTCTCTCCATGGTTCGCCGTCTGAGGGTTAATTAATGTACTACTACTAATAGCACCACTCCTAGTATCTGATACAACAATTTAAAAAGAAAAATTGACGAAACCATGGAAATAGTTCACTAGACGAAACATATGGATAAAAAGTACCCACCATGGTCCGATCATTGAGTACTCGTTACATAGGCCACGTAACTGATTACGTGGCGGTATCACTCCTCCCTTTCCGGTGCAATTGTTAATCTTACGACGTTTGTTCACGAAAGTGGAGGTTACGGACACGGATTAATTATTAGGCGTGTCACCAAAGACAGAAAAATTGTTCCTTCTCCTACTGCTTAGCAAGTTATAAAACTGCGGTGCCTGATCCATCGAGGGCGATAGATTTCGAGTGGCACGGTCAAACTCCGTCCTTCTTTCGAAGAAAGAACAATATCGTGACGGAGTTCCGAAGAAATTTTTAGCAATAAAAAGTGTGGAAAGGATGAAAGGGTACGGTGCTATACTGCTGATCGCGTTGATGATCGTCTTAACGACGATTAAGCACACGGAAAGCGTGAGTTGATCGTTTCATTTCTTATATTTTACTCGTTCTTTGTCAATTGCAAATTCATTGACTAAATTTTTAATTGGAGTCAAATAAAAATGTGAATTTTAATCAGCTAATGGAGTGTATTTTTGTGCATACAGAAAAAGATGACTATCGACGAAGCGAGAAAGACGGTTAAAAACCTGAGGAAAGTGTGCAGTAAGAAGACTGATGCACCGAAAGGTAAAGCGAAGTTTGCAACGACAAATTTATGTTTATTTAAATAATTTTATAAATTGTTTACGCGTTAGAACTTTTGGATGGTCAGCACAAGGGTGAGTTTCCAAAGGACGAGCGATTAATGTGTTATCTGAAATGCATCATGACTTCGACAAAATCGGTGAGTAGCTATATTTTTAGAATTCTATCGGTAAATTGATTATGGAAAAATTGCAAAATGTTTGCCAGTCTCTATTACGTTGTAATAGTAAGTGGGTTTTCAGATGAAAAACGACATGATAAATTGGGAATTCTTCGCTAAAAATTCTCGTCTCCTATTACTGGAGGAGTACGTCCCGCGAGTGGACCACATAATTGAAGTGTGCCAACCCCAAGGTTTGTAATTATTACAAATCACGGTTAAATCTGCAATCTACGATACAATTCATAATTATAATTTGGTTGCAGTGACGGCCACGGATGGATGCGAAGTCGCGTGGCAATTTGCCAAATGCATGTTCGAAACGGACCCGGAGGTGATTTTTAAATACCATTACACGACAAATGACACTTTCGGTGCAGTAATTTCGTAACACGGTTCCTAAACCTTTTCGACCTTCCAAATTTAATATTTTTTTCACAGATCATTAATTTTCTGATATTTAAAAATTTATTTTATCAGAAGATTAAAAATTTTCGTTCGACTCATCAAGGAAGAGTTTCTGATTTTTAGAAAAATTAATTAATGTGAATCTGTTGCAGATGTACATGGCGCCCTGAACAATGATTCAGAAAGTAATTCACGGTATCATCAGAGAAGGAAAAGAAATGTTCGATCATCGACGCGTTATCATCTTCGTCATCGTCGTCCTGATCGCCGAAACGCGGTTTGCAGGAACTCTAGAAATAAACCGCAATGTAGAAGGGTTTAACGAGAAATAAGAACCGCGGGACAACCGTCAATAGCAAATTAAGGGGTTAATTAATTGAGAATGAGCACTTCGATGACGTATATTTAAATTAGAAGATCATCTTTTAAGATTGAATAATGAAAAAATTCAATTAGAATAATAAATGTGTAAACTTTCATCGATGAAAGTGATTTTTAAACATTTTAATCATTCATGAAAATATTAACTGTACAGTGTAATATTAATATTAGTACTAGTTGAAGTAGCTAATGGTGATCGATTGTTCGTAAGCAAAATGGATTTGTATTAAAATTATTAAATAGATGTAAGTTGTTTAAAAATTTCCTTCTTGTAATTTAAGTACCACAATAATTGTTGACCCTGCATGAATATAACTGATGTATTTTATAAAATTCATAAGAGAATAATAAATTATTTTTGCTCAATTTATTAATTGTACCAATTTATTTAATATCCTAATAAGTGCAAAATTATTTTTTTTTGTTGAATATTTACAAGATATTATGCACTTAAAATAAAAAATGCAAGCAATATTATATCAGTGTTATAATTAACAAAATCCATTTTTGTTCAAGTAATATAAAAATAAAAATATTCAAACAACTCGCAAACATTGCATTCTAACTTATAAACAGAAATGACTAACTGAATGAGATTTGAGCAATTAACACGATAATTGGACTTCGATCCTTCTATTTTTCGATCCAAAGAAAAATCTTCCCACGATGGATTCTTTGTATGCAAACATCAAGAACGAATCGAGTTACTTCAATAATGGCTATCAATTCAAAAAAAATGCAATTCTAGATATTTCCACGAAGAACATTATTAATTTTTCTTCTTCGTAGCGATTGGATAATTAAAAATAATCATTTTTTACGGGATGCAATGCCTGAAATTGGTCGTTCTCTTCCCGATTAAAATCAAAGGCTCGTTATATAAACCAGTGTGAATCGGGCAATTATTTCTCTTCCTGCTATTTCGTAATGAAATTCAACACCTTACGCGTTGATTCTACGCGTATTCACACTAGTCCTCTATAAATATGTTTTCCAGGCGTCGACAGGCGTCAGTCAGTTCGAGGTTTTACATTGTTTCGAAAGGATAATCAATATGAAGTACTTGTTGGTGATCAGTTGCCTCCTTCTCGTTACGGTGAGATAGAGAAATCATTCTTTTCCATTTTTAATTATTCCATTGTACTACATTTAGGGCGTCGCGACGCCACAGTCATCGGTAACATTACACAGAGTGCCAAAATACCCTCTTTCAATTTTATGTATTTATAGACTTGAGAATTAATTTATAATATTGGAACATTCCTTGTATCTCAGGAAATATAACATAGACCATCGATACATATTATTAGAAAACAAATGTGAATTCTAGGATGTGATTCGTGCCGATGAAGAAGTACTGGAAGTTCTAAAGGAATTCGCTGTACCTTGTGCCCAAGAAAACAACATTTTGCCAGGTGAATTAAATTACAACGGGTCGCATACTTTTCTTAAGTAAGTTTTTCAACTAATCGCTTTTCGTTTCAGAGGAAATGCCAAAGTTTCACGACACCGAATTGGTAGGCGAAGATAGAAATAGATTTGGTTGCATGAAGGCTTGCATAATGAAACAAACAGGAATTGTGAGTGAAAATTAAATGAAAATTTCCAATTTTCTGGTGTCTGAAAAACTGTCTACACTCCTATTATTAGGATTTGGCAATTTCAAATAATGTTGATACTTTTTTTAGTTGGTCGGCAGTGAGTTTCAAGAAGACAAATACCGAGAAGTCGGGGTGAAGATAGTTGGCGATGAACCGGACAAAATAAACACATACACAGAGCAAGCAAAAACGTGTTTCGAAGAAGGTAAAAATCAATCAAATTAAAGAAATAGCAAATTAAATGCAAGTCCTATCGTTTTTGCTAATAAATTCACAACTGTTTCAGCGAAAAGTAATACTGACGAATGCGAGCTTGCGTTCGTTTTTGTAAGCTGTGTAATGTCCCAAACCCCTGCATGATCGAGGAATCTATTGTTCAAATTACACGGAAGAATTCTTTTTAAAAAATATTAACTATTGTACAATTGTAAAGATTAATAAAAGTAGCGATTAAATGAAAATTTGACGTTCAAATCACGAATACATTATTTTAACCCTTCAACAACGAGTCCTGGATTAATCGTGATGCAAACTTATAAAAAAAAGGATATCAACCTAAAGTTTTATACAAAATCCACGTGAATATTAAGTAATACAAAAGTTCAGCTGGATAACAAAAAACAACTTTTTTTTACTGCATAGCAATTACTGTGACTTATAAAAAAATCCATAAAAGAAGAACATAATTACAGCAGAGATTTGAATAAAAATAATGACCGGGAAACTGTAGTTATTCAATCCTCCCGTCTACTTTTATCTTCGTTTTTGATAAAGATAAACTTGAACCATAATTAACCGGAGTTTAAACTAATTAATTTGTTAATAAACTTAAGAAGATATATGTTAAAAATGTACACTTAAATTAATTCGATCATTCTTAAGTAACAATGAAGCCGAAGTTCATTCAATCATTTCTGAAATGACACTCTAATAACTACTGATTACCTACTTAACTCAAACGATATTAGCAATCCATTATTAGGTTTTTTATGAATTGTATTTTTCCTCTAATTTAAGTATACGATTCAAAGTCAAGGTTAACTGGTTGGATGCTGGATAGAAAAAAAAGGGAAGATTACATGCAATAATTAAGTGCGTTGTGTTGCAATAAAATCTAATATAAGCTACCTTTGTGTAACACGTGATACATTTTTTGTTCGGCTATGCAATTATTGTATAAATATTGGAAGCCATCGAGAATAAGATTTAGTCGTCGATAAACTAGCTCATTTTGCAGTAGTGTTGTTCGTTAATTGTTAAAGAACGTCAAGATGAAGACTTGGCTAATTATTGTTGGTGGTTTGCTGATGGCAGTAAGTATAAAGTTTATTTATCAAATAATTGGAGGAAAAATGGTATAAGAAGAAGATGAGTATTTATATTAATTTGTAGGGCCATATGCACTTTGCAAATGCAACGATGCGAGTGCGTCTAACGCTTGCATTATTTAGCTTTTTATTTTATCTAGATTAATTTTTGTAACATTCTATCTAAGAAAGTATTAGAATACAGTAGTGAAAAAATAAAACATTATTAGGGTACAATATTAAAATATTGCAATTTTGTAATAATGCAGTTACCTAGTAGGATCCTAATAATTTTTCTATTACTAAAGTGAAAAATATGTAAACTGTCTATCATAGAGAAAAAAAGAAGAAAGAGAACTTAGCAAATTATTATTATTATATTTAAAATTTTCATTAAATTTCAGGCTGCAATTAATGCTGATCCTGAAGATGTTTATTTAGATCTAATGAAGGACCAACTTATACACTGTGCTAAAAAAAATGGATTAACTGAAAGTAAGTAATCATAATCCATTCCTAGATAAAACTCTGAAAAGTTGGGAATTCTATATTGAAATATTTTCTTCAGAAACTCCTAAAGAAATATTCTACAACGAAATGGAAAGGGGTGAGGAAAAGGCCTCATGTCTTGTTGAATGCACCATGAAATTAAGAAGCTTTGTACGTAAATCTAATCTACTATATAGAAAAACTATAACTTCCATAATTACATTATTTCTTAATTATTTTATTCTAGATAAAAGATTCGAAGATAAACCTAGACAATGTGCAGGAGTTTCTGAAAATCGTGCACGCTGATGAGCCAGATTTATTAAAACAAAAGCAAAAAGCTGCAGTTGATTGCTTCGACAAAGGTAAGTTATATTACACAATTAAAAAAGAACAATTGATAAAAATGTTTACTATTATTTTCGTTTTAGTTAAAGACATTGACGGGTGCAAAATGGCGTTCAGCTACGTTAAATGTTTCATGGAAAACTAAGAAAATTCAGATGTATTTTAAAGAGTATAAATAAATAAAAGATGAATATTTTTAAAATTAAATGTTTACGTGATTTTAAATATACCTAATCAAATATATTTTGTAAACAATGATAGCAAGTATCATAAGCTTTCGCTAATTAAAAAAGAAAAATGATTATCTAATTTCATTCACCAATTCCAAGAATTCAGGGTTGTCATTTTATCTAACGATCCGCGGACGAAGTTAAACAAATCGTTTCTGTAATTACACTGTTCTCGATGCGTGATTAGAGTGGCTCGTTCCATTCAGATCATAATTCTTCGAAAAACCCTCGTTTCACGAATCCGTGAAAACAATGATTTTTCGTGATAAAAGTGACACGCGGTAATGAAGACGTTGGTCGTACTTGAACAGAACTGGCCTTACGTAAATCGGTTAAATCAGGGAATTATCTCGTTTCCTGCGTGTCAAACCTTAAACACCTACCCGTGGCGACGTATAAATGTCCTTTCGAGGGATTCGAGAGAACACAACCGGTGAAAAAATTCGTTGAAGACGAATTTCATTAACAAACAGGAGCTCTTTGATCAGCTTTGGATACGTCCGTTGTGGAAGAATGAAGTTTATTGTCGCTGTTACTTGCCTATTGGCCGCTACCGTGGGTGTTAAACTATTCATAATCACTGCTGAAATTACAATTTCACTATTTCACGGGATAAATTCGATTTTCAGACGGCCGTTCGCGGTCTCGATCAAGATGCCGTGATAGCTAAGTACATGGAATACTTGATGCCGAACGTGCAACCATGCGCTGATGAGTTTCATATGACAGAAGGTAAGCAAATATCATTTCAATTAATTCTTTCAATGGCTTAAAATTCTCTATACAGTACCTGAAATATAATATTATAACGAGGAACAATGTAAAATTCAGAAAATAAAGACAATACGAGATACGAAACTAAATTAAAATTGGGTCTCTCTCCATGGTCCGTCGTTGAAAAGTTAATAATTCAAGTTTCACTGTGTCCTATCTTCACAGTCGAGCTAATAAATGATAAATACTATCAAAATTTTCTTAAATAATTTCCAGATCAAGCTAAAAACATTCAGCAAGCCGCAGATGGAATGGACTTGAAACAATTGGGCTGCTTGAAAGGCTGTGTGATGAAGCGAATGGGAATGGTATGTACAATTTATAATAAAGATTCTTCAACAGCATCGACTGTTTTTGACCACGAATAATTTACATTTTATTTTTCAACTATTCAAGCTGACAGGCAACAATGAGTTCCATCTGGAACCCGTCTACACGATGATAGAATCAGTGCATGCTGGTAACGATGCTGAGATCCAAGACGTGAAGAAAATTGCGGAAGAATGCATTACAAGCAGTAAGTAACAACCGTAACTATTATTACCGATCAAATCGATAATTAAAGTTCTTGAAAAAAAAAAAAAAAAAAAATTGCGCTCTTGTTATAGTTCAAGGAGAACCTGACGAGTGCAACATCGGCACCATCTACAGTGATTGCTATATCCAGAAGCTTTTCAACTAGGCAAGTTAAAGATCGCTCGTTGAAGGCTGTAAACTTATAATTGTTCGAAACTTATAATCAATGTACCACGTTCAATAAAATGATATGAGAATATAAATAACGCGTTCAATTCTTCTTGAATTAATTCGTCATTGGCGAACTTGAAACGAAAGGTAAAAGAATTGCAAAATCATCCACCTTCTTTATCGCTCTCGTTAGCTATTCAAGCTCCGAGGATATTTCTCCATCGACGAGCTTTAAAGCTGGAGGAACGATTTAAAGGAAAACCGTGCGATCAGTTTGGCGAGAGGATCGTTTAGAATTCCGCGAGTGGCCAGAGCGATTTCTTCGGGAATGCAACTACCGGCTGTAATCGGTCGCAAAGCCGACCATTTGCAAAAGTGTCTCAACGTGCGGGTCTGTTCGTTGCATACGGGCCGACCATAACTTTATTCCATGGTGTATGGGAGGCAACTTCGACCATTACCGGCTACATTATACCGCCTCGCAACGTGAGCCGCTTACGTTAACGCGACACCCGCCTCGTCCTCTTCGCTTTGCCGCGGGCGGAACGCTCTGAAAATCTGCTGCAACCCGTACAGAGACAATTTTCTGCTTCGAGGGACGACAAGTGTTGCATACCAGACTGATGAACTTTGCCATTTTGCGAATGTATTTTCACGCGTGCTTCCTTTGAATTAATTCAGTGCCTTTTAATTATTCTTTACTGCAAATAGCAACCGTCCAATTTATATTAAGAACGTTAATGAAGTATTTCTGAGGTCATTTTTATAAAATTCTGAACTTCAAATTAATATACCGTGGGTGCCATTTAATGGTACTTTTGGAAATAAATGAAATAAAATAAATTTCCTTCTCATCCACACCGTTCAATGGAACTTTTTGATTGATTGATGTTCTTGCTGAGTAGTCCCTTCAGTTTCATTAATAAGAATGAGATTAAGCAAGTAGATGATTCCGTGGCTTCGCCACTCACGCAGACACCACGTCGGTCGGCTTATGAATAAACAAAGGGACGTTAACGCGTTATGAATAATTAAGCTGCACTCGAGACGAGAACGCCGCACGCATTTCAACGGAGAACCCGTAGCTTAACGACCACCCAGTATATGCTACAAAGGCTAGAAATTGTTAGCTCGAAATCTTGTAAATAAAGTTCAAAGGTTCATTAAAATGGTTACATAAATCCTTCATTAGTATTCTTACTCCTAAGAGGATTTTTCCAGTCTTAATTAATTCGTAATATTTAATTAATTTATTCTTCCGTCTTTGGATGAAACTCGAAGCTTTGCGTTGTTATTTATACAATGCCCGTGCCATTTCGCTGACTAATTTGCTTTCAACGCTGTGCCCGTGCTCCAAGCAAGAATAATTTTGTTTAAATCTGAAATGTTTGTCAACCGACATCCAGGTTATAATATAAGCTCCGTTGCATCGGTGCAGTTCGGTGCAGTTTGCAAAATATTCCTTCGTGGAAGCACGTCGATTTATTCGTTTTATAATTAAACTTAGCTGCGATGAAGAGGTTCGTGATTCTTGTTTGCATTCTTATCAGCGTGAGTGTACATTGAAAACATTATTATTTGATCGATTTATTGATTTCTGATTACAGAATTGAAATTCTATCGATTATTCAATATTTTTAACCAACCAGATTGTAACATTAAATAAATAATTGTATTAGAGCTGTTGCACGGTATCGAAGGATAATTATTAATTGGAAGGTAATTAATTAATTGTCGATTGCAGGCAACGACACGAGCACTCGAGGTAGAAATAATCTCAAGAGTAATGAACGTGCCAGTGAAGGATTTAGCAGAATGCCTGCAGAAGAATAGATTAACCACTGGTAAATAATAATTAATTAATAATCATTTGACTCGACAAAATCAAATGAATTAATTAATGAAACGCTCCTACTTGAGAGTGTTAAGGAGAATTAAAATCTACTATTTTTACCTTATTTTTTATTATTATAGAGGACATAGAAGATTTGGAAAACATATTCGATGATCAAAATGTATCTTTATCCGAATACTCCTCTAACTTTGGTTGCTTTGTTACCTGTGTTTTCGAGAAATCGCACATAGTAAGTGCTTCTTTTATTCAACAGTTAAGAATATCTAATAATTTTGCAATTATTTCAGATTGAAAATAACCAGATTCAATTGAATTCGTTAATTGAATTAGCCAAACGTAATAAGTTCCCTTTGAGCGAGGCGATGAAGCAGAATTTGAGGGAGTGCATCGACGAAGGTAATTAATTCAAATATTTTTTACAAACTACAGTGAAAAATCCTTGACACTTTCTAATATTATACAAGTGTATGAAGTTTGTAAAGACAATGAGAAAAAACAAGTATGTTGTTGTTTTTAATTAAGCTTATGTAATTACTTTGGAATTATTCGGGATGAAAACAATTTAGTGGAATTTTCAGATTTCATAGAATTTACTTAATTAGCTGGAATCTACATGTTTAACTGTTATTAATAATAAACATGTTTATTTGTTGACCATAACACGAACAGAAATAGAACAGAAGAATGTAGTAAAAAATGAATTGAAATTATTATCACGAACATTGTTCTTTCAATTGTTTCAGCGGAACAAGAAGATGACGAGTGCAAAATTGGTCTCACTTTTTCCTCCTGTTTAATACACAAACTTCGACAATAAAATTATTGTGACACTATAAACAAACAGCATCCTTTTCTTTATAAATATAAGAATATTCTGATTGTAAAAACGCAGTAACTGTGTTTGACTGAACTTGGAACAAAATATCCTGACACTAATTTATTTTGATTTGTAATTTGAAATTAGTAAGTTTCAATTAATATTATGGTTTTCAGGATTCTCAAATATTTTATTTTTATAATTTTTACAAAATATTATAAAAGAACCGACCTATCATAATTATGTCTCGAATAGAAGAGAAAAAAAAAAATAAAGAGTTATACATCAAATTCATTTTTCCAATTATTATTTACTAATTATCAGGAATGTTGCATCTACACATGTGACACTATCTTGCATCTTTAACCTCTAGCCGCGATTCTGTGTGATATAAATAAAGCAGACCAGACACTCGATGTTAGTTAATGAAACTTCATCTAACGAACAAGTCGTGTTCATCGAAAGATTTCCGAATTTTCATTTAAAAATCTGTGAAATCCTCGCAACCATGAAGAGTGCATTGTTATTGGTGTTCACTTTCCTCGTTTTCGTAAGTACATGTTCCTCGAAATCTTTTGGAGGAATGTAAATAAATACTGCATTAAGATTTGCGTCATATGATGCACTTTTGAAGAGAGAGTTTATCGAAGTAATTGTATCAGTTCGAATGACTTATTGATCCTTGATATAACCATAATGAATAATCTCAAATGATACACTGTTACGTAAATTGATGAACTGATAATTTAGTTTGAAATTTGAGAATTGAGAAAATTTGAAAATTGATAGCACTTGAAATATTCTAATTACTGTCTATAGTTTAGCTCAAAAATTTGAAAAATTTGTTTAGGAAAAATTTGAAAGCTTGCCAATACTCTGGATATTTTAATTTGAAATTTGAGAATTTATAGCATTTGCAATTAAAAAATTTGGAAATTTATAAAATTTGAAATATCCCAATTTACTTTCAAATCTGTAAACTTACAAAGCTAAACATCTCAGAATTAGCCTAAAATAACTACTATTTTATTCTAGACAAGTGTCCATGCGGATAGACCACCCCATCAACTGGTTAGTGGCTTGGCAAACATGTTTTCCATCGATACGAGGGAAGTCGAAAAGTGTATAGATAAAATGAGAACGACACCAAGTAAAATCATTACCTCCTTTCACGTACAAATAAAAATCTGTTCATAAAAATGTGACGAATACTTCCTTGCTTTTCAGATGATTTTACACTATTGGATGACGCGATGACCGAAGATTCTGCGGAGATTAATAAAGACAGTTTGAGACGAGCCAGTTGCACCGCGGTTTGTTGTGCTCAGAAGCAAGGAACGGTGAGTTAATTAATTCAAATAAATATTTAGCAATTTCGAATCATTTGTTTCGTCGCTTTCAGATGACAGGTGCTAAGATGGAGATACCAACTATTCATAAACTGATTCAAGAATCCGGAATGCCACCGAAAATGAAACGTGCAGTCCATACGACTGTAGATCAGTGCCACGATATAGGTGATTCACTAATTAATATGCCATTACTTTATTTTTCAATTTACTTTGTTGCGCAATCCCGCAATTATTTCATGAACCAGAATAATTCAAATGACTAGTAAAATAAGCTACAAATAAACAATATGAACCAGCAGTTCTTTTTTTCAAAACACTTGAACAATTAAAATTCAGATGATCAATAAAATAACGATTATTTTTCCTTTTTTTTTCAGTGAAAGATATTACTGATGAATGCGAATTGGGATACCGTTTCGTTAAGTGCACAATAATAAAAATGTAGGCAGATCAATTTAAATAAATAAAAGGATACTATATAGAAAACTGTAGGAAAATTCTAATAAACCATATTAAAATTATAATTATTATATTAAATTATTTCAACAGAATATCTTAATACTTTTGTACGAAATCCACTGCTGTCATTTATTTTTAATAAACTGAAAGTATTTTAATTTCACATTTGAAGTGAAAAATGTGCCGCTAATCCTCAATTTCCCTACGTAAAATTACTCCACCGTGATCGATATTTTTTACCAATATTTATTGACCGTGACCAACGATGACAGATACAAATAATCGTGCTGTAACTTTTACTTTTTACCAGGCAGCTTTTAACATGCCAATTTCAAGGTTCCTTTCACTTCTCTCGAATAAAATATACCTATCATGATTTTTCGAGTGCCTTGCATCGTGGCACACTTTTCTGTTTCAACACAAAGATCCGCGTCGATAAGTGTTTCAACATAACGAAGACAGAAATAAAAATATGCAAAGCGTTTAATAATCGCGTTATCATCGAATCTGAGAAAATTTGATCAAAAAATTTTTCCATTTCATTCATTCTATTACACCGAAAGGAGCAACAATTTCAATCGGAAGTTTGTTAATCAGAGAATCCTGGGAGGATGCGAAACGCGGTGTTGGCCACAAATGTTTGCGAGCGTCGGACATAGCCCGGAATACGCGATTCGACATAAATGAAATTACAAAGTCAAATGCAGACGGATCGGGGGAGGCGCGCGGCTCGGATGAGGCCACTTAATGCAAACGACCGTCGTCAAAACGGCTAAAGCTTTTGTTTAACACGGTTCGAATTAAGAACCTTAAGGTTAATCTTAACGATTCACGATACGGATCGTAAATTCTTTCAAATTTTTTATTTTGGATGCTGAGGCTCGAATCCCCTTAATCAGTAGCTGACATCAAATTTCAAAGCAACATATAAATCTTGCTATGCAAGGGTAAATGGTTCGTCAAGTTAGCGAAAGGAAACTTCTCCATTTCCATCGATCTTACTTCAGACGCGTTTCATTTCCCTCAAATACGCTGGAAATCAGTTTAGATCCCGTTGAGACTTAGTGTTTAGCCCTTAGCCCTTCTCGCACACCAAGTGACGGATAACTCTGTTACTATAATTCAATCGAGTTGTCTGGCTCTATAAAGGCTTCCACGACACATTGTGCGATACATGTGTGTATCTACCAAGCGAAGAATAAGTCTGCGAACGATAGGATGCTTTTATAATCGAGTTTACACCCGGCCATGATATCGCATGGTTATGTTGTCAACGACGTATGCCATTGCGCTCCTCCAATCGTGTTTCGTTCGCGTTTCTTTCCTTAATTGCTCTTAATTGAACGATGCTCGAAACAAACGAAGACACTTGGCTCCGACGAGTGAACTTACATCGAGGAGTTTGCGGTGCGGGAGGATTCAGTTGTGTAAACGCGAATTACTTCGATTCTTTTTTCTTCTCAATTTAATTTTAAATCCAACGTTGGACTAATTTCGAATCACCATCGGTAATATTGTCTCGTGGGTCGCTATTACCGAAATTGTTCCCATTCCACGGTGGCTAATCGAACGTTTCCGGAAACGTGGTTAATATAACTCCGTGCCGCGTATCCGCAGGTCAGAATAGCCTGCGGAATTCCGGTATTCTACGATGAAATTAGCATCGCTGGAATTCCATCGTGAACCCGACGGACCTACGTGACCGAAGAACGAGTGCTCTTCCATTAAGCTGGTTGCAGCGTTGATCAACGTGCACGATAGGCGCCAACAGAGAATTATTCTCGAATTATCAGCTTGTTCTTTGTGTATCTCTATTATCAAGGTACTAGGCCTTTCATCGACTATCGTCGTTCATGACTTACATATTCAGAGTTGGTGAAATAATAAAAAGAAAATTCACGAATATTATTAGTTCCCTTCGTTTTTCATTTTTCTTTATTTTATAGCGAAGAAGAGTTTCGATAAATTATTCGAGGGTCGAGTATCTCTAAAACCACCCACGGTGTTCCACCCTATATTTCCTTCTTCTTTCGAATTCTTTTCAACGGTCACACGTGTCGTCGCACCCCTCGGTCCGATGCACCGGGTGCAAACGGTAGAATGCAGTCGCGAGTGCAGCAGCTTAGCGTGATATATAGAAAGCAATGGAACGGTGGTATTGAGCACACCAGCCCTACATACATTATGCATACATTACGCTCGACCCTCGTGCATATATATACACGTGTGTACACGAAGCTGGCGTGCGTACGTGAACGCACGATGTACACGATGTACCAGGTGTCGCGGTGCATTATTTACTATGGTAGTGAACTACGATAGACCCGCTCGCCTGCTAATGAACCGGAATATATAAGAACGAACAGGGATCGTGCACGGTGCCTTTCACTCGTTTGATCATCCTGAGATATGATTTTCATTTTCATATGAAAACGAACGATTGCGAGAAATAAATCATGGATTTACGAAGAAGCAACGATAAACGGAGAGAAACGTGCGAAAACGTCAACTAATAAACCTAACAGCCATAAAGACGTGATAGCCAGAAGGGGAGGAGGCCATTATAGAAACTCGCGGGCGACTCTGACCCGGCAAGCGAAATTTCACACCATAATAATTTGCCCGTGCTACGATTACGAGCGGTCATAAAATTTCGAGGGACCGTTGGAAAGCGCTCGAAATTTCCGCGAACCGACCACCATCCCTCTAATGGTCGCGGTGCCGGCACTCGACAGTTTTTTGGAACGACATCTCCCTCGACGTGGACAATTTTCCAGGTTCGAGGGTGAAGGAAGCCGGGTGTAGTTCGCTGGCAATCCCGGTCGGATGCGATGCACCCTCGAACGAACGGCCAGAATACTGGGGGAATTAATTTCTGCGACGGTTGCACGGGCCAACCTAGGGAAATTTGTCTTCTGCTTCTGATGGCGAAGGAGACGGTAAAAACGGTGGATAATGTCTGTGATATTCTCTTGGCATTTAGAACGGTGAATGGGATCATTATGGTATTATGTAGATGAAGTTTGAATTGGAATAAAAAGCATGGATTTCCATACAAGGAATTGCAAATGAAATTATTTTGAAAATGATATTTTCATTCTGTTATCATATGACTGGATTTTCAGTAGAACCTGGTAGAAAATTTAGAAGATCCTTGATTTTTCGTTCATCGAAAAAGTTACGACGAATCAACCCTATGCAGGGAGGTCTATGCCCTGTCTGTGTCTCTCTGAATCGATTTTAGGCGCGTGGACCACCATAGGCGTACGCCCCATGCATCCGGAGACTGGAGTCCGACCTATCGTCTGCTCTCCTACGAACAATGGAAATTCTTCCGATACACCAAACGCGAAACTACGAATAACCGAACGATTCGACTGCACTTTGGTAATGGGACGTCGGGTGCAATGAAAAATTGTACGATCTCTCTAGTAAGAGAGGAGTGTGCAACAGTCTATTTCCCATAGAGATTTCAAAAGAGAAATTGTTAGACTACGTTTGAATGAAAGAGGTTTTCGTTCCTCGATTTGAAGGAAAATGGGAAAATATATTTTTCCTAGTATGGAGGCAGTTAACCCTTCCACTTTCAGTAATTATCCTTCCACTGGTCATTTTGTAAATTTTCATATTTTTGGAAATGAAATGCAGTACCTAGCCCCACCCAAAGAGAAATTCTAACTAGGCTAATGCATCGAGGAAAGGAAAATAAAAAAGTGAACTCTGGGTGACAATAGTGCAATTGTAGCCGCGAATACGTTATCACCCTTTACACACGTTAACTGAGTGATAAGAGATAGTTCCTGGTGGATGTCAACGAACCAGGTAGGTGGGATAACATTTATCTTATCCAGATGTATGCCTACTGGTGTTGATTTCTGTTTGGTGAATTATCTCGTCACCGTTTTAGGACTTTACGTTTGAACATTTCTCAGGGAACATTGAAATCGTCCTTTTGATCGTACCGTGTATGTACCCTACCCACGTTTTCTTGGATATAAAAGAAAAGAAGTAAGGGAAGTTCGTTCGATCATTGAAACGCGCCAAATGCGTGAAACTCGCGTAGGTTCCTGATATTTTTGCGCCACCCACGCGTAGAAAACGGGTTTCTTCTATGGCCGTACAGCAGGCCGTTCACTTTTGCGTCGAAAGATCACCGACATTGTTAATTGAGATTCATCGATACTCCTTTATACCAATTGTATAAAAAAAAAAAAGAATTTTCTATTTTCAATAATTTCTTACGAGAGAGACACCCTTCTGAGGGCGCTAAGTCATTGGACCAATAATTTAGGGTTGTTTACCCGTGTACATGATTAAAATAAAATTATCATCTGCTGCACGTACAACAGATGGACAGAATTAATAAGCGTTTTTGATATTAAATTTCTTAACACGTTTTATGCCTGGTGAATCACCTGGTAATTCACCGTGTTTATTAAGAATATAAAAATTAATTGTAGAAAATAAGAATTATCAAAATTAAAATTGTTATACGAAAAATATTTTACTACTATAAATCACTATTGATTAATACGAGATTGTATTAGGAAATACGTTCTTAGAACTTGCAATTAACCTGACTCATTTGTCATTGACTCTACAATGCAACAAGAACGTTCGATGTTTTAATCGACTTGCTTTAATGATTCAACACTTTCATCTTCCTTACACGCATAGATGGGCATTTAAATTTCCCACTAAACGGCGTTTTAAATGTAACCCAAGACTTCCGCTAGGGATTGATGATGTCACGGTCACGTGACCACCTTTCAATGGCATTTTTTAATATTACTTAAAATTGTTAAGAATCTTTTACTATCAGTCGCAAAAGTTGTATATATTTCTTACAAAAGATACGATATAAGACATATATACGTGATAATTATAAGAAATATATATATCATGTACATTCTATCAAACTGTCAATCGCGATATCTTATATGGATTACTGATGACTGTTACCGCCATCATTTGATGGAAAATATTTAATGTCTTTGTTTCAGATGCAATTAGCACGTAACTTATTATAGTAACGTGATATTTCAATCGTGTGCATGGTATGAAGACACGCGTTTCTCACGGTACACAACATTGTACGACAATCGTTCTCAAGAAACACCGAAATAACAGGCATTTATTTTCAGTCAAAACAAAACAAGGATAACCTATATACTTAACGTTCTTGTAGCATTGATCAATAATGTAATACAGAATTTTACAAATATCAATGTATCATGATTATTATTGTAATATAAGTAATAAATGGCACCAACCTTTTGTTTACTCCGTTTTACCAAAACCGATGCGTATCAGGCTCCAAAAGTCATTTCTTGAACACACATTTCACACGAACCTATAAAATACGAAACGATTGATCGTACCAATTTCACAAAACATTGTTAACTAATATGTACATAAACATACACGCGTGCATAATACTATAACGATAAAAACTCACGCGAAAACTCGACAGACCATAACACCTGTTGCAGTGACAAGCACGAACTGGAATGTATGGCACAAATTATGAACGCGTTCAACAGCAACGCATACGCCATCTGAGAGTACATTATTGTACTATTCTTAAATCATGTTATGGACACACGTTATGAAACATACCTATTTTATCGGTAATGTTCTGATGCTATGGATATGTAGATTAAGGCGCTGCAAGCGTCGAGGCCGAACTCAGACTGCACAGACGAGGTTTTAGACTACGCCGGTATTTCAGATCTTGTAATATGAACTCCTATAAGACGACTGGTCTATTCTATATCTCGTCTGTGCTATTACTAGGATTCATGCTGTAACGTTAGTTACCTAGTTTAAGCTCGTGCGTATCGAAACGTCAGTATTTCAACATACTCGTAACAGTAAGATATCTCGTAAGATCCTCATGTCACGTATACTGCGAGTGTTGATTTGTGATTAACCTCGGACACTGTGCGAATCGTCCGTAAAAATGGATAAAAGGTGAGACACGACGTTTCACGCAATTTTTCAATTCATAGTTACTCGTTTATTCATTAAAGATGAATTGTCTTCAGATTGGACCCATCAAAGTCGGGGTATCGCGACGATGTCAGTAGCCACTCCAAGAAGAGCAAGAAACGATCCAGCAAGAGGAATAGTATGTTCAACTCTTGGATGAATAGCGTTCAAAACAATCAAAACAACGATGTAGTACCTGGCATGGAACATCAGCATGTATTGTGGCAGTCTAACGTACAGCAGAACTTTCCAAGTAATGGACAGCGTCTCTTTACAACAGCATCCGATCCTAGCATGTGTGGTTACGCACAGATGCCAATGACCTATGCCATGGAACCCGTTTCACTGCCAGCCATGTACAGATTATATCAGCCAGTGCCATTTTCTGGCATCAGAACTATACCCAACAGACCTAGGAGAAACCTCAATCAAACTCACCCGATGGATATAAGCATGAATTCTATGGCAAATGGTTTTACAAGCCTGCAAGAGAATGGGATGGCATCTCCTATACCTGTTAACTATCAAAATGGGGATTATGCAAGTCTGCCACCAACTGCTAACAGAAACAATGGAATCAATGGGGATGAATTGAATTCAGAGCATCGGAGGTACTCTGATCCTGGCCTTGGATCAGCAGAAGCTCCTGCTCAGAGCGAAGATCCTGATAGTGTTGATAGTGGAAGTTCTGTTACAACCATTGGACGCAGTAATAAGCTGGTTTTGTCTCTCATTGAACAAGTGTGTATTCAATAGTATAGAATTATGTATACATTTTCCTTATAATAATAATTATATGGACTTTTCAGATGACAGAATTGAAAAAGAGCAATAGCCAATTGTTCAAGGAATTAAATGAAACAAAGTCTGAGTTAGGTGGTATGAAGGCAAAGCTGGCACAGTGTAAATACAGTGGCTCATCAGATTACCAACCAGGAATGTTATCAGGTACATATTTATGGCACCTTTTTTGTCATTTTATTTCCAGGAACTTGGAATTTTAATTTACGTCAATTCATCTTAGATGCAAACGGGTTTAAACATTTTAATTGTTACAGATTTTATCCGAGAAATTAGGCAAGCTAACAAAACATGCGAGGAAGGATTAGTTTCGAAAGTGAAAGCTATAGTGGAGGAGAAACTGAACCAAAGATCACTGGAGGTGGCCAATTTAAACGTACGTATAATTTCCTTCGAAAAAATCACGAGAATATCAATTCTGTTTAGAAACGGTCAATTAAAAACGTCCAATAACTATCCCCGCTATTGGTGATTAGATAAGTCACGACTAATGATTCATACTTTCTCTTCAAAACATTGACTCACAATCGGTATGTGTATTTTATCTGCTACCAATGTTCATAAAAGTGTTTTCCACATGCAAACAACGCAGAGCTCAACACAGTCAGATTGTATCAGAGAGAAATTTGCAATAGGATTAGTTTTCATGGATCCATAATGAACTTGAAGCGTTGATAGGCGTTGGTTCCGTTAAAAAGAAGCAGGAAGCATCGAGGAAGAATAGAAGTTTGGGTCGGAAGATAGAGAACGTGGGAATGGAAAACAAAGCGGGTAGAGAGCTAGGAATCCTCTCTCTCTCTCTCTCTCTTTCTCTCAACTTTGCAGTTAGGCTACAATAATGTGCCGCTTCGACCGACGCTTTCGGCATTTCTACGACATGGTCATGGACATATTGTTTGCGTAGCATTCGTACGTTCTGTTTGATTAGGACGGCCAGGTGATCTTCGTTTCCCCTCTCTCACCTTTTCTCTTCTTTTTTCCACAATTTCCCTCCCTCTCGATTATCGTCTGCACGCGAATTTTCATCGATCAAGTTCGCCGCAGACGTTTCCATTCTATTTATATTCACATCTTATAAACAGTTATTTCGTGGGAGGCCTTTATATTCGAACAATCTTAAGAATAATTAATTCTTTTTTCAGTTTCTGCAATCCATTCCAATCTCAACTTCCTGATCCCAGCTCCATTTCGTCCAAGAAGAATCATCAGAAAGGGTTAAACCTTCGCTATCCAAGCACGTTCAATATCCATTGGCTCCAAAAACGGCTTCATCCCCTAATTGGTCAGACTCCCGTGGAGGAGGGTTCGAAGGCAGGACTCTATTCTTGATAAAACCGGCTGATACCGGAGAACCTAATGTAGACGTAATACGAAATATCCGTGACGCGGTAAAAATGATTAGGTTTCACATGAGGGTGTTATCTAGGAGGGGTAGAGAGAGGAGACTGTTCGAACAGGGAGGCAGAGGGACGTGGTAGGGTGAAGGATGAGGCACTTAGCGGCTGTCACGGCCTCTCCCTTGGCCTCTTTCCTTTCCCTCTTTCTCCCGTCTTCTCGGGTTTCAACCATCCATTAGCCTCATCAGCCGAAGCGATGGCCGTCCGTTCTATGCCCTGCCTCTCTCTGTCGCGTTGCCAATCTCGTAATTGAACCTTCGGGACCTTCCACTTTTGTGCATGTAAATTTCTGGCCGCTCGTCGCCGACACCCGACCGACGAGCCCGAACCCACTCGATGCGTTTCCACCAGGCCAAGTGGCCGTCGCGACGAGGAATTCGTGTCGTTCCCCTGTTTCGCGATTTAGAGACGAGAGCTAAACCGACGAGAAATATTCATATTTTAAATCGGACAAGGGTTAGATTGTTAGAAAAAATTCTCTATTAATAAGGAATTTTTAGGCATTTCACTAGGGTAGGGGGTGAAATTTGTAGGTTTCAATTGGTATTGAAAAATAAAATTCTTTTTGTATATTCTGGATAAGGGTAGGGGATGAATATATACTAATTAATATGAAAAGATATTACATATTAATTCATTTTTAACGAAAATGAGATTTCTTTTTTAAGTGAAGAAATACTTAGTTGATTAATGGGTATGAAAGATTCTTTCTTCGATGAAGAAATAACGAATTTTCAAAGTAAAGAATTACTGATAAATGAAACCTTGGCTAACTTTGGAGTCTCATAAACGGCGTGGAATCGTGTAACCAAAGAGCGGTACGTTGTAAAACGTTATCTCGTGAAAAATTGCAGGTTACTATGTAAATTGTTTGATTTCTTTCGAAACGAGCCGTGGCATCTTATCTACGCTGGTATATTATTGTCTCCCTTATCTGTTATCTTTATCCTCGTTTTCTTCCGACGGGAGAGAACTTGCTCGTCTTGGAGCAGAATTTTATTTTTTATATCATTCTATTCCTTCCATGTTAAATACATTGTAATTTTAAATGTTAGAGGAAAATATGTAATAAATTCTTGAAGAAAAATAATTTTTACAGACAAAAATATTTTCCTTCATTTTAAAAAGGATTTTAAACGTTTTGAAAGCAATGGTATTTATCATCAATTGATTTCATGTTTTCAGAATCAAATTGTAAAATTAATGGAAGAGAAAGAAGAGAGTGAAAAACGTATCACAAAATTGGAAGAAGAAGTGGCCACTTTGAGACTGAATGCAAAGTGAGTACTCCTTTATGATATATCTTTTATTGTTCAACGTTTGTAGGAGGGATTTAAAAATTTCAATATTTTTTTTTCTTTTTGTAAAATACACGTTTGGTTGATTGTTTCACTCGTGATTTCAAGTAGCACACAATTTGCACAGTAGAGTTCACGTAAACTGGTGAAATTATTGTTAAATTGTATTGTTATACACGTGTGATTCGTCTCGTCTTATTAATATATATATTTTTTCAATACAATTCCGATAAAAGTTTTGTTCTAAAAATACGTATTTTTACAAGGAAATTAAGATTCCTATATTTTTTAATCGAAGGAAAGATTGTATAAGTATGTTGATATTATTAATTAGTAATTTGGTAGTATTTTCTTATCATTATTCTTCTACTTTCTTTCCCTCTGTTTCTCCCACTTTGTTCTCCCTCTGTGTAATTTCTATCAACACGGACCGAAATCGTATAAAACTCGATACATTTTGTATAAATTATTTGATAAACCTGTCTTCTACTTCTTGCCATTTTAAGATAAAATTTTACGACGTTTCTTATTTAGCGTATTATTATTTAATCCATTACTTAACCATATCCAATGAACTCAGACATGGAGCCTTGCATCGAACCTTCTCTTCAGCTAGAATTTATCGAAGCCTTGCAATTCTTCTTTCTAATCATAACCAAGCGCCAAGCCTTGCAAAAATTTCATCTTCAACCTCTATTTCTCTTTTAACCCTTGAACAGCGAAGCCTGGGTGAATCACGACCCAAATTTTCAAAATATATAATTCGTATATTGGAAGAATAATTTTTAAAGGAACAGTGTAAGAATTAAAAAACGAAAATAATAAATAATGAAAGAAAATTGGATTAAAATCGAGGGTTCTCTCCATGGTCCGCCGTCCGAGGGTTAATAACCGCATCAAAGCCTGGCAAAAATTTCTCACCAAATTAGCAAGAACCTTATCTTTAGCCGTAACACACTTCTCCTAAAAATTTGACAAAAACCTTCTGTCCTTCAGTCACGATCCACCTTTGACCCGCTGCCTCCAAGCTTGCCTCACTCTGTAGGAACACCCCCGGGTGCCCCTGTGTTCCTCGAATATCAGACCCGATTGTCCGCATGCCGGGATCACGTTCCACTCGCGAGACGCGGAAGACGACACGCGAGAATGTACATATATAAACTGGTGGACTTGTATTGGCACTTAGCAACGAAGGCCGCGAGATCGCAGCGTTCGAGGAAGAGACGCTGGCCCTGCGACGGGAGCTGCAGGAGGCGCGGGCGTCCAAGAGCCTGGCCGAGAATCACGTGGCAAAGTGCGTAAACGCAAGATCGGTCACCCCTGTCGCTACTTTCGACTCGCCATACGTAACCAGCACCCCCGTGCGTACCGCTATCTCCGACACCTGTAACCTTCTCCCTTCGACGTCCACCTCCTCCGGATCATCCTCGGTCCATCAACACTTCGGCATGCTGCGTTCGCGTACCGCCGAGTTGGCACACCATCATTTCGTCTCCGAGAAGCCGAGCGTTTATCGTTCCGCTGATTGTAGTCCGGCGACGTCAGCTACCTGGACGGTGGACGAGGATAATCGAGCTACCCAGTCACCCCCCGACGATGCCACCTTCGAAGAGTCATCTAGTCTGACCAATTCGGACCTCCCCATTGACAGTAAGAAGGAGGATGAAACAGAAGCGGTGGAAGAAAATGTTGAGGAGAAGGTGGCTGTGGAGGAAACCAAAGTTAATAGCGAAGAAGGTGTGGAGTCTAATATAGAGTCTAGCTCTGGAACGTCCAAGAGGAGCACCAGGGGATCGAGGAAGGACGACGAGACGAGACAGAGAGGGGGTTCGAAGAAGTCAAGGAAGAAGAAGAACGCAGGGGCGAAGAGGGCGTTCAGTGAGACGGAGAAGCCAGCTTGCTCGGAGACGTTGAACGAGAACGCGGCCAGAGACGGGCGTAGAACGGTGAGCGAGGACGATGATCGTCTCGATAACGAGGACACGTGCCGAGCCATCACCGAGATCCCGGAAGTGACCGTTGTCGGTGGTGGCTCCTCCTTCGTGCCGAAAGATCTCTGCTCGACGGGTATCCTGACCTCCAGAGTCCTGACAGCACCCTCACGCGCTACCTACACCACCGCCTACATTTAGGCTACGTACGCGCGGGGCCCCGCAACCATACGCGTACCACTGGCGTGTGTCGCAAACGGGGGCTTCAAGGGCTTGCTAGAGGCTACTACTATGTACAATGTCGAATAGCACGTAGGTCTATCGTTCACTCTATCCTCGAGTAGCCTTGTTCATTTTTTATTTTTTATTTTTTCTAATTGTGAAAGTGCTTGGAAAGATTTAAGTTCTTCTTTGCCTTGGTTCCTGCTGACCGGCTGCTACGTTGTGCTGTAGCTTTACCTTGGCTAGGAGAGTGATCATAGTTGTTATAGTAATGATATAGTACCATTGTGCAAAGATGACAAGATAGGATGTCTATAATTCCATTGGGAACACTCACATTTAAACAAAGTGGGTCTTTAGATCTTTATTTTGTTCAGGTGCCATTTTGTCATCTCTGAACAGTAGTTATTATAAATGCAGTGGACTCTCGTTATATTGCCACGCGAGCAATTTGAACAATAGTCTATGAAAATGAGTCTATTTTTCTTTTTCCTTCCAATTGGAAGTTTTGAAATTTGACAAATTTTCCACCCCTACCGCGGCAATATAACGAGAGTCTATTATAATACAATATAGAAGTGTCCTTAACACCTTGCCTCATGGTTCGGCACGTGCCATTAGTTAACACCTTACCTACTGCTCGAGGATAAAATGGATAAATGATATCGCTTAATTGCAGAAAATTTATTAATCGTTTGTTAACCCTTCCAGTGCTGAATATTTTTAACAAATAGACCCTGCGTGTATGTATATTAATTTGCACTTAATTAATTTTTATTCCATTTAGATCTAATTTAGTAATTGCATCATGTCTGCAGTGCTTGAGCTTAATTTAATTCTTGCAGCACTTAAAGGGTTAACAGGTTGGTAAGGTGTTAAAAAGAATTGCTTGTATATAGGAACGTTTTGTACGAAGCTTCTTTGGCTGAGATTACGTGAGTTTTGAACAATTAACATAGATAGGTAATTAACAAGAATTTAATTGTGTTCTTGGTTTATAAAAGAGATATCTGTTTGTTGTATCAAAAACAGTAATTTTTATACTCAATGACTTAATAAATGAAGAAGAAATTGACAACAGTAAAAATTGAATCTCTTTAAAAAAAAAACAAAAACAAATTCGTACCTTAATAATTTTAAGATTGTGTTCTTCAATTTTTACAACTGTAACATTTAACGATTGGTGATTTGTATATAAAAATACTCATATATTTTTTTATATAGAATTGTATAAATATAATTAAACATTTCAAGTTACGAGTCTGTCAGCGTGAACCAAGTCTCGAATGTTATTTTCTTTGTCCCTTAGTCGCTGTCTCGTCATTATCTTACATTTTGTATATTTTAAGAGTAACAAGTTCAGAGAAAAAAGAATAAAAGTCTTACGATAAAATGATTGTTGATTTTTTGAAACAATCGTAGAGCACTTCTCATCGTTCGCAGATTCTTCCATTCTGCAATTGTAAATTTATTTTTTACATTTGGATAGTGTAAATTACGTTGGCATGGCTTTGCAGCTTGTACAATAGCATGATCTTAGTTTACCCCATTTTTGTATTGTCTCGTGTACAGTGTGCATTGTTCCTTGTTTTATGTAATCCAAGATAATTTTATAAAATCAAAGTCTTTGAGTTGCTTTAAAATTTTTCTAAATCAATTGAATTAAAATTTCAAAAGAAAAAATACAGGGTGGTCCACGAAACTCCAAAGAACAATCCTATGGCAACTTTTTATTTTAACACTTTGAAAAAAATAAATTTTCAATTAGCTCGTTTCTTGGACTATCTTGTATTTAAAATCTAAGCATTCTTTTTTAATCCCAATCGCACTGGAATGAATAGAACCGCGAGCACCCTTCCGTTCGCGTAGAAAAGCTCAGCTTCCGCTTCGCTGTTCACCAACCGCACGACATCCGTTTCTTTTAGCTGGCAGCATGGCTTTCAGCTGACATTGTTGCTTTTGCCGCTTCTAAAGAGAGTATTGCAGAGATTCGTTTGGGCCGATTAGCACGGCGCGGCGGGGAACGATACTCACGTAACCTGACAAACGAAAACTCATCATTTGTCAGACTGGAGAAGCTGCTGGACATACTTCGTAGTAAGATGATCGGTACCACGGACCAGGAAACCGGCGACGCTGTTGGCACGAAGGTGAAACGGCTACGAAATGCTTCTACCTCCTCTTCCGAGCAGGATCTGGACGAGGAGGAAGAGGAGGACGAGGGGAGACAGCGAGATGACGAAGAGGACGATGGTAACGTGGATGATGATGATGGCAAAGGGACACCGTACAGGGAGAAGGTAGCCGATCGAATGCCAGTGATCGAGAACGGTATTAAATTGTCTGGACCTGTAACTGATCTTTAGATCTTAGATTTTCTTCAGCTTTTCGAATAGAAGTTTCAGCATGAAGAAGTTCTGGAACCCATTATTCTTCTTCAAATTGAATCATGGGGCAGTGTATGATGCTGAGAAAAAATGTAAGATTTGATAGAGTTTCAACACTGTCATTTAAGTGTTTGAATGATCCTGAGGGAGGATTTGAAGTTCTAGGATACATCATTCATTCTTAAATTAAATGATGGAATAGTCAGAGACTGAGAGAACGATTATGTATTCCTAGAACCATGATTGATTCTTTAATTAGACGCTCCAGCGTTCAAAGTAGAGTATCAAATTTTGAGATCTTTAAAGGGTAGATTTTGAATAGTTGATGAATTTTTTAGAGCTTTTGCTACTGATTTCTAGGCTAAGCGTTTGAGCGTTCAAAGTAGGGTACAAGTGTTTGAAGATGGGTTGTGTCGTTTCTTTTCTCAACCCTGTTTTGAGTGTTTAGGGTAAGGAGTTTATTAATCTTCAAACATTCGAATGTATAAAGTATTTTATACGCGATGGAAAGGAGAGATTTGGATTGTTCGGTGATGATAGGTAATGATTGCCAATTTTCTGAGTTTGCATTACTCTTCAGGTTTGAAGTAGCTTATAAGTGTTTGAGCAATTCACACGAAGACTTGCACTGTTTGTTTGATTTTTAAATTATAAATTTGAAATACTTCTGAGGCTACATACAGGGATTGGATTGATCATATAGATTTGAGAAAAAATCTGTTTTTTTTTTTTAGGTCCATGACATTAGATTAGATCAACAAGAAGTCTTTGGATTTATTATTAATAGACAAATATTTTGTCTAAACGAATTTTCAATAAAATTAAGAAAATATTCTAATGTTTTTCAAAACAGGGTTGAATGCTGGTACTTAAGGGTAATCAAGTTTGTGTTTAAGCATTAGATAAGTGTATCTGCAACCCTTGCATAATTGCAATTGTTTCTTTTCTTGTTTTCATTACACTGTTATAAATTTCAATGGAGGAAAATTAACGCAATTATTTAAGGGTTGCAACGCGTTCCGAATATCGATTCGCAATTTTACCTGTGATCGTTCATTCGTCCCAATTTTTTGGAAATACGGTTCCTCAAGATTTTCATTATGCTGTCGTACGTGCCTGTTCAATTTTTCTGATTTATTGAACTAACTTTTTCTATTGTTGTTGCGCTTATAGTGCACGTTTTATTCCTTTGTGATTTGAAATTAGAAAAAAAAAATTATGTGTTAATAGTAAAAGCTTCAAGACTTCAAAATATACTTTATTAATTTTAAATGGTTTATTTTTTATTCAGAATCACAAAGGATTAATTACGTGCAAAAATTGTTGAACTATATTTTTTGGTCGATTAGCAATATTTTCTTGTTGCTGATTAAATATTAGTGCCTGGCTGATAAACTAATTTTACGTAATTAACACACGTTGACTTTTCGTTTTGTTCCAATTAACAGTCTAAAGTATGGAACTATTTTTATGATTTGGCGAAAGAAAGAGGCTTTATAATTAAACATTTCATTATTAATACACGCTAAATGATGTTAAACATTATTTTAACTAACAGAGTTTTTAAGAAAAGATTGCTGAAAATTTCTGTTTGACCAGTTCAATCCTGCTAAAAATAAAGGATCTTAATGGAATTAAACAATTTGCTTCTAATCAAAATTTCTGTTAATTCACTCAAATTTTCTCTTATGAAATGTTAAGAAAATCGTGCAATTTTCCACTAAGATTAAAAAGATTCCAATAGATTATAATATTTCATTAGATTTTGCATAGATTCTTTATAATACCATAACTGACCCACTGGAAAAATTGGAGTAGTTTTTAATAGTATAAAAATATATTTTTTTATGAAATAATGTAGACACGATTCATAACAGTGAAAAATCCCCAAAATTCATCTGCTTTATTAATCATGAAATGAATTTTCCATGAATTAACATTTTTGCAGTATTTTTAAGATTTTTCATAATTATGCGACGTCGAATGTACATAGATAAAATCATTCTCCAGTAATGATTTGCCTATTATACAATCATTATTACCTAATTCCTTTATTTTTAATCTCTTATATTGTTTTCAATAAAAAACAAATCATGTATCATGTTATCGTAGAGAAAGGATTAACTAATTATCATACTTGCAATTGAATTTCTACTAACTTCGAAAATATTGATTAAACAACTAATTAGCGTATCTCGTGTAAACAACAACTAAAGTTGTAGATTAGATACTTAGCATGTACTATCTTGTACACAGATTCTACTTCCCGTTATCAAATAATATATATCATTATAGAAACATAATATCACAGTGACTCACGTATTTGTTCACGTGAGATTGACATTAGTTTGTTTAGAATACTTATATCTTATTGATTTAATAATATTATTACATTGTATACAAAGATAATAAAAACAAACAAATTATGTAATCAGCATCTTTGACCATTTAAAAAATCACACATATTATACAAATAAATATGTGAGTCATTGAATGTGGTGTATAAGATGAATCATCTAATTTGATTATCTTAATTATCCCTATAATTTGTAGAGATAGAAACAAAATTTATAGGAGTAATAATTTTCTTTTTTAGGTGAAAGATTTTAGAAAATTTTCTGTTTTAAATAATAAAAATATTAACGTATAGTGTTAGAAAAAATTATTTTGTACTCGTAAACCTTTTTTATATTTTTCAGAATAATAGAGATAATTAAGGAAATTAAATTTCATAACTTACCCTGTGTATTACTATGCACCTAATAGTTTAAGATTTAGAATTTTTCTTACAATTAGAAGCACCATGTAAAGACAGTATTTTCATAAATAAACTAATATTACTTTTCATGCTCTAATACAAATTTACTGTCTATTTTTCGACGTCCTATACAGAAAAGGTAGAATCTGTCGTTTGCGAACAGCCAAATGCAACAATGCAAAATTTTGAATAATTAAAGAATCACTCTATCAATTATTCAATTAATTGATAACAATCTGATGAAGTTCCAAATTAAAAATCAATGAATTTCGACGTGAATACAATCCGATTTTCGATGAAATTTTAGTAGAATTGCTAAAACGAGTGATTATTTAATTATTTCGAGTAACTTCATCAAAATCTACACAACAAAATATTGTAAATATATATAAACTGAAAAATGTGGTAATGAAGATACAGGGTGTTCAAAAATTTAAGGATACTTCATTGAATAAAATTTTTCTTTAAGCAACTATCCTTAAATTTTGAAGAATTCCTGTATAATTCTATCACTTGATTTGCAATAATAATAGCCTATTATATTTTCGTAAAAGAATTTTCTGAAAGACTCGAATTTATTTAAAAAAAAAAAAAAGTATGAAACGATAATTTGTTGTAATTTTAACTCTCGAACGTTGCAGCTAGTAAATCTACTATATGCTACTAAAATTGAGTACTAAAGATTTTGTATTAATGAAAATAATGTCTAAGAAAATAGTCAAAAATTTGGAGAATGAAATAATGAAAATCAACTGTCGTTCCAGGGTTAAGCATCTTTCTCTTGTAAATTAATCACTATTAATTCTAATTAGCGACTGTAACACTTATATAGAGGTACTTACGTAAGTCGTTCACCATATATTTTAACGCACCGTGAATGTATTTAATCAACGAATGTGGAAGTGCCATCAAGATCGCAAGGTTTCCAATTGTATTTTTTTATCGAATCAAACCGGATGCAGCAATCTATAACAATTTCGAAGTGTCCTTTTTACATGTAACTGTATGATTAAGTGTGCATTGCAAATTTTACGATTTCTAATTAAAATATATTTTCAAGTTTAGCCGAACTAATACACAAATGAAATATAACACTGACACTTATATTTTTTTTTAGAAGAAGATTTGTTTTAATTAATAAGTTGAATTATGTATTCTCCAAGTTTTAATAAAACAATGTATACGCAAAGATATATTATCATTCGAGTAATATAAATTTTTACCTACGTGAAACCACTTCATTAACCAGCAAAGGGCTACGTCATTTTTCCAAGAGACTTCAACGAGCGACGACGATGTTTTTCTATCGTCGCCTTCTCGTCTGTGTACAGGGTGCTCCAAGTGTTGTGATTAGCGAAAGATGTTATTCTTGTGTATGGATGTTTGTTCTAGCTGTACAGCCTCCCACGAAGATCGTCTGAAACAGTAAAAGCCTCTATGTTAGCGATAGTCACGATGATAGCAAAACATTGTTTCGATCCTGACTTGAGACGAGAACCGAGAAATGTACTATCTGTTGCTATCCCATCTCTGAACATCGCAATTTTCTATTATTTTGGTAGACGAAGGTTTAGAAAAGCTTAGCGCGAGAAGGGAGTTGATTATCCGTCGCCGGACGGATGGAAAATTCCTAAATTCCAACAAGAATCGAGTTTCGAATCACCAAAAACCCAGAAAAATACATTTATCGTATCCTCGAAAGAAATAATCCTCCAGAAACGATTACAAAAGACAATACCATTATCAAACAGCAAGAATGTAAATGAGATAAGTAGGTACGATAGGTTCGCTTCTGTTCATTGTACAAGCAGCCAAGTAATCGAAGATTTTCGATATTTTTCAAAGTGGAAAAGACTATCCTACCCGCGTACGAAAGCAGCATGCGAGGAATCGATTGTGCAAACAAGACCAGCGTGCAACCCTCGGCCCGTGGATGTCGATCTTTCGTTAAATTTTCGTTATAGTTTCCCTACAGATGTTTCGCGGAAAGCAGAAATTTTAAGCAGACTGTTAGATCTTCAATTTATTTTCATTTGCTATAATTCCAATTTCATGGCTTTCAAATATAAATTCTATAAAATCCACTGATTCTGCAAATACAAAAATTATGAGAATTGTGAAATTCAGAAATTAGTAATTATAAAAATGAAGATATTTTGTTATATTAAAAAACGCGTCGAATAACAATTATCGACGAGTCTCGTCGGGGTAACGTAATTCCTCCTATTCTAGCCAGGCCACTTCCGGTTACGCGGTCGACAGGGTAGCTCGGTTCGAGGGATCGATATTTCGCGGGGAGTTGCGGACCGTGAGACTTCTGCTCGCGGATAATTGAAAGCCGTCGGAAAATCGTGCGAGTCATCGCTAGCGAACGCGGACCAAGAAGGGTGATATTATTAAAATTGACTCGTGGTAGGAGGGCAGCGGTCGAGAAATCGCTGCCAATTCGAGCCGTTTGATCAACCTGGCTCATCCACCACCTGCCATCTTTTTATTTCCACGTGTTCATCGATCGCTATTTCCTTCCCGTTAAAAAACGAACCGCATGAACATTGAAAATGTTTCTCCCCTGCTTTACGTGACACCCTATTATTCTATCTGTCAATTCCAAATCATACGAATCCTTTTACATTCGTTAGAGAGTAAATTATTCAATGAACAAAGATTTCTTTCAATTATTAAAATGACGTCAAGACGCATAAGGTGCGTCATCATTTTAAAGCTTATATTTCCTAATACCAATGATTTCTGTGGTGATTTCTCCTCATAGAAAGACTAGAAGAGGACAATGAAATTATATAAAATACGTGCCAAGAAAAAAAAATTAAAAATTTCCCAAAAAGCTTCTTTCTTGTTAACCCTTTTGATCAAGCTGCTCGTCAGCACGTACACCACGCTCATTATCGATCAAAGGCCTAAGGGTTATTTACCCTGGTCGAACGGGGCGGTGACCACAAGAATTACCGATAATACCATGGGGCGTAATACGAAATTACGCTTGCGATCGCGTACGCGGCAGTCCGCGTGCTCGCCACGACGGCTGACAGATAATCGCGGCATTACGATAGTCTAGACGCGGGCAGAGCGGAGAAAGAACGATAGGTTTCACGAGCGTGCCATAAACGGCCGGTAAGTACCTGCGTCAGGTAAAAAGGTGGCCGTTTTTGCAGGGAGGAAAGAACGCGATGAAAGAAGGGACACCGAGATGTGGACGTGCGAACAGGAACCGAAAATCCAGCAGTAAAACGATAATCGATTTACGACGGCGGCGCTTTGCGCCGTTCGGACCCCCGGGAAAAAAGGGAAAAAGGGAAACGGAGAGCGGCCTTCTTGGTTCCGGCAATAAAGAGACGATGTGACGCAATCACGTCCAAGAATAATAAAAAAGGGACTCGATGATGTTTTATGGTCGTGTGGATTGAGGGGTGTTTTTCGGGTTTTGATGAAGTCTCGGAATAATATCAGGAAATATGCAAAAGAATTGAGGAGATGTTTGTTACTCAGGTATAGAGTGTTTTAGTGGTCTTTTCTTGGATAATGGAGAATTTTTCTGTTTTTTTATCGAATCATATGGCCTCCCAGTTTTAAAATTTAATTCATAATTTAAACTGCTTGAAATTTTTTTTCTGATAAAGTTATCTGTGATAAAAAGTGATAGAAATCCTGAAAATATCGAAATTTCTAACAACAATTTTGGAACACAAGTGGATACAATACTGGGTTGTAAATTGTTTGAGTCACTAAAGAAACCTTCGTGTGCCATTTTCAAATTGTGTCATGGACATCAGAATCCTTCTGAGAGCACGTGTTTTCGATTGTCACCCTATGAATCATCAATAACAAAGAGAAAAACGAAAAACAAGTACCCTGAGACGAATCGTTGCAAGTCTCTCGAACGTTTAAGAACAAAGCAATCTCGTAAATTGTAAGTGACTCAAAGGGTCAAAGGTAATGACCATCACATTCGACAGTTTTCTTTATGATCTTGTTTACTAGACCGGATGACCGATTAGTCAGCGAGAACAAGGCCCAAAATGCTCCTCATCTGCGTGCAAGCATTACTATCTTGTTTGGTGTCGAAGTACCATGGCACGAAAAACAAATTAGTCATAGATGAAAAATTCTACCGTGGACTTCGACATAGATTTTCCAAAGTAAAAAAAGAATATTCCATTCTTCTTTTTTGAAAGAAATTATGACACACTATTGAGCATTCGTAGAGAAACTTAGGTTTTTCTCAATTCAATTTTTCCTTTTTCAGAAATTTCAAAAATTACAAAGGAAATAGATTTATAAATTTATATTAGTAACGCTCCTATAAATAATTAAATTTAGATAATGAAGATCGTATGAAATACAAAGTTAAATTAAAATTGAGGCTCTCTCCATGGTCCGCCAGGGTAAAAAAGGAAACCAGAAACCGGACCGGACGATTTTATTTATCAAACGTATCCGCAAAGAGAAGAAGACAAATTGCAATAATATCGAAGCGTGTATGCATCGTCGAACACACCGTTTACCGTTTAAAAAGTTTGCGCAAACGATTCGAGGGATCGTCGTGACGAAACGATTCGATGTCTGCGAGACGTCGCGTCGCTCACAATTGTGTTCTATTGATCCTGCAAGCGGCTCGGTTATTACTTGCAAATATTTACCGATTTGCCACGATGACAAACAAACGACGCGAGCCGATTCAAGACCCCGCGATCGAACAGCTTTCCTCGCGCTCTCAGCTATTTATATTTCCGGAAACTGATCGCCGCTTTCCTCTTTCACTTTCTTTCCGTTCGACTTCCTTTTTCTGGCGAACTTCGGGGAAAGAAACATTAGATTATCCAATCAATTATGCACTCCGGTAATCGTACAATTTTTCGATGGTGCTATGATTATATAAATTTTGGGAAAATGGATCAAAAATTGATGGAGGGTGTGAAAATTGTGTACTCGCGTATTGGACAAATCCGTGTCTCAGAATATGGTTGGGAACAATGAGAAAGGGATGTTAAGTTCGTGTAAATCTTAGCCTTTGACTTTGTAAATCACTGTCACAACATTTGCGTGAGAGAAGAACGCGCGAACCGCATTAGGCACCGGTATAATCAGGGCAAAACTAATTTTCCTAGCTCTGGAAAAACCCAGGGTTCTAGGTGAACATTTGACAGTGTCTTCTTAGGCTTTGATGAATTTTTAGTAAAAAGGACACTAAAACAATTTAATTGAAATTCAAGTAGATGCAAAATTAATTTAAAAAAAAAGAAACCAAAAAGTGGATGATCGACGATAATTCCTGATGATAATTAAAATTTCATTCAATTTCATATGACAGAAAAAGAATATTATGAATATTATAAGAAAAAATTAGGTAATCTACGAGTATAGACGTATGTATAGAGAGGCAAGAGGGGTGATAAGTGGATGCAGGCCGACGTCGAAATTGAGTCACTTAAAAAACGATACCTACACCCGCGTGTGCTTTATCGTGCTCGACGAGGTGCAGACCGAACCCTAGAACCAGTCACGTGCTGTGCGTGCCTCGTCGAGCTTTTCCCAGATTTGCAGCCCTCGAATCGTCCAACGGCCTATCTTCCACCAGGAGGACCTAAACCACCCCCTTGGATTCGAAGCAAAAATAATAGACTCGTCGCACGTTCTCGAGGATCAACGATCCTCTTTCAACTATCCGCTACGATTAAATTAAACAAAAAGGATCTATATATTAAATAATAATCATCAACATATCGCTTCATTTTGTAATGTTCCATGAAATTCTTTTCAAGGAAACAACCATCGTCTCACTTTCTATAGGTAATTTATGCCACGTCACGAGACAGCCTTTCATTTTACCAATATTCCTGTTCATGTCTTTTTTTTTTCTTTTTCGAATTGTATACATAAGTAGGCGGTCCAGTGTTTTTCGGACGTGACTTAACCGCGGATGCACCTGATTTTCCGTGATTTGGGTCGACTCCCGCGAAACATTGACTTCTTGATCCCCAGGTCTATGGTTTGTTGTTCGTAAAGTCTTGAAACAACAAACCCCTTGGCGGTTCCCTTGGTAATCGCGTGACAGGTATTCCAGTTCGACGTGTGTCCTCCTCGAACCGGTGAAATATTTTTCTAGGTCGGATACTCGGCGAGGATTTCGTCTGACCAGATTTCGGGGATGAAAATTCGGATTTCTGTGATTTTTCATGGGGAACTGATCTTTGGGGGAAACGTGGCTATCGATTTTCGGCGCGCGGACCATGGAGAGAGCCACAATTCTAATACAATTTTCTATTTCTCATTATTTCACGATTGTCCAAGGCTCCGCTCTGTTCAAGGGTTGAAATAGGAAACTAAATAAGATTGTTTTAACAGAAGACTAACGCGATATCGCGTGATGAGAGATTTGGAAAGAGACCAACGGAAGAGAAC